TTATCAATCCACTCCCTGATTTTAACACATTTGAACTGTATTACTGAAACTGCTGAGTTTTATTTTCACTTCCATACATGCATGTTATACATTGATCTTTACAGCCTCTCTTTTCTCCACATGAGAAAACACACAATAGTTTATTTCACTTCACATGATATCCTCTACTATTCTGATGTCTGTCACTACAGTTGTCCTAGAGCTTGATTGTATTTCCAAAAGTGGAATTTTATCATAAGGTAGCTCTGAAACTACCATGTAACTTTTCAATGAGAACTGTTACTGTTTGTAACAAGGTATACATCTTCTAATACATATTTTACAAATGTTTTCTTCATTTGTGGCTTTCCATGATAGAGATATAGAAAAAGAAAGGGAAGGTTATGGATATACACACAGAAGCTATAGCCTCATCTTCCTTTGGGAAGACAACGAATAGCATTTTACACACACACACACACACACACACACACACACACACCTGCCTCACACCTATAAGCTGGTTACAACTTAAAAAAAAGTCGCTGGGTGCTGGTGGCTCACACTGTACTCCTAGCTACTCAGGAGGCTGACATCTGAGGATTGCGGTTCAAAGCCGGCCCAGGCAGGAAAAGTCTGTGACTCTGATAAACCACCAGAAAACCAGAAGTGGCGCTGTGGCTCAAGTGGTAGAGCGCTAGCCTTGAGCTGAAGAGCTAAGGAACAGCGCCCAGGCCCAGAGTTCAAGCGCCATGACTGGGGGGAAAAAAAGTACAAGTTGGGAGGTGAGGGGTATGGGACAGAAAATGGTGTAAATGTGAGGAAACTGCAACCCTTGCACACTGTTGTGGAAATGTGTGTTAGTGTGTGTGTGTGTGTGTGTGTGTGCAACCAGTGGTAAAGAGCACTTTCTCAAAAAATGTAAAAATAGAATCATCATATGGTTCCACAATCCCACATCTGCATGTACACCTCAAGGAACTGAAACCCAGGAACTGGGTATGTGTTTGCAACAGCATTATCTACAGTAGCCAATTGAAGAAACTCCATGTTTATCAGAAGATGCTATGAATTCATTGAAATATTCACGTGTAAATCTACATTAAAAGTGCATAAACACTAAGTGCTAAGCTTTCTTCTGAAGTAGCCATTGAAGGCAGTGAACAAAACAGGAAAAGGGTAAGACATGTCAGATAGTGAAATATGCTATTTAGAGGAAAAGTCAGGATGAGTTGAGTGCAGGAGAAAGGTTTTGTGCATGTTTTTAAAGTAGGTAGCCTCGCAGGGCACTGGTGGCTCATGCCTGTAATCCTAGCTACTCAGGAGGCTGAGATCTGAGGATCGCAGTTCAAAGCCAGCCCGGGCAGGAGAGAGCGTGAGACTCCTATCTCCAATAAACCACTGGAAAACCGGAAGTGGCGCTGTAGCTCAAGTGGTAGAGCGCTCGCCTTGAGCTGAAGAGCTGAAGGACAGCGCCCAGGCCCAGAGTTCAAGTCCCACGACCGACAAAAAATAAAAATAAAAAATAAAAAAAATAAAGTAGGTAGCCTCACTGACAAAAGCTGTATTTAAGCAGAATGAAATCTCAAGAAATAACACCTGTCATACAGACATTAGGCTTAGTTTATATGAGACTAGGATCACTGGACTGAAGGGGACACTCAAGTGCAGCAAAGCTTTTGGCAAACATTGACTTTCCAAAGAAAAGTTGGAAGACCTTGGGAAGAATGAATAGGATGGTTAAGGGATGCAAAAGTTATGGAAAGGAGCGTGCAGGAATGTTGAACCTTGAGAAATTGGACTTTAGATGGGAAATAAAGGCAATTCCATTGGATATAACAGCAATAAGCAAAGGGGATTTGACTTTTTGCTGTTACTAAATGGATTCAAGTCAGTCATTTCATTATGTTTCCAAATTACATGTATAGTTAGCACCCAGTAACCTGCACTAGATTTCAACGCATGTGCACATGTGTGCATGCATGTGTATGTACTGGTCCTGGAGCTTGAATTCAGGGCCTGGGCACTATCCCTGAGCTTTTTTTGCTCAAGGCTAGCACTTACCACTTGAGAAACTCCACTTTCCTAACCAGACTGGCTTCAAACCATCATCCTTCGATCTTACCTCCTGAGTAGCTAGAATTACAGGTGTGAGCCATTGGTTCACAGCTTAACGTACTTTTTCTGGGTAAATCTGGTCTTCAAATGGCCAATATTAGAATCAGGGTGTATCCAAAACATTTTTTTTATTGTGAAAATACTGTACAGAGGGGTTACAATTACATGGGCAAGATAATGAGTGCATTTTTCATCAAGCATTGTTGCCTCCTCCTTTGTTTCCCCTTCCCATCTTCCCCCCACCTATCCCCCCGAAACATTTTTTATATGCTGCCAGTTATGTTGGCTGACAATGAGGATGGCTTTTCTCCCCATTTTAGTATGCGGGCATTAAACCTGGCCACAAGTCACTTGCAGATACTGTTCTCTACCAATTTTTGGATGCTGTCTATAGGTCTTTCAATCTTCAGTTAAAGCTGTGATACTTATAAAATCATCTTGATTTGATTTGATCTGCTTTCTGACCAAAGTTTACTTATTATGTGCTCATTGACTCAAAAACGCTTGTAGGAGCAGGGAACGTGGCTTGGTGATGGAGTGCTTGCCCAGCATATATGAGGCCCTCTGTTCAATTCCTTGGTACCACATAAACATAAAATCAATAAAATAAAAAGGAAAACAACCATTAAAATTAAACAACGCATGTTCTTATGACTAATGTTATGGATTATAATGTTCCTATGGCTAATTATGGGTACTGAAAACAAAGTAGTATATGCAGGTAGGAAAGAATTTTAAAATTTTAATTTTAATGTCTGTAGTAACACCTATGTCCCGAAAAACTGTGACAATATTTTAAGAGTAAAGAGTTGCTTACCATTTCCTGTGTTTAAAAAATCTTGTATAGAATCATGTATATTTATTTACATATGTAAATAAAACCATGGCTTTCCTCACCTTAATGAAAGACTAGATGAGATTTATCCCACTAATCTTTTAATTCTTTCAAGCCCTATTTTTTTTTTGGGTCCGGTCGTGGGGCCTGAACTCTGGGCCTGGGCACTGTCCCTCAGCTCTTCAGCTCAAGGCTAGCACTTTACCACTGTGAGCCACAGCACCACTTTCCGGCTTTTTTCATTTTTGCTTATGTGGTGCTGAGGAATCGAACCCAGGGCCTCAGGCATGCAAGGCAAGCGCTTCTACCACTGAGCCAACTTCCCAGCCCTCAAACCCTATTTTAACAAGTCAGTTGAAATGAATTTAAACATACTTAAGTATACATAAAATTTCATCTGCAAAGGAAGATTGTGAAATATTTCAGACCTTTATTACTATAGACCAAATAATATAATTTAAATATTTTGGCTTGTGAAATTGACTTATAAAAGACTAACGGTTTTGAAAAGAAATGCAAAGTTGTATTTATAGAATTTAGAGTAACTATATAGCATTACTTGACTGAATGCAAAGAAACAAAAATGCAAGAAATTGCAGCTCTTGGATTTTTTTTTCTTTGAAGCAAAAAGACCAGCTAGACAAACTTTTATTAGAGCTCACTAGTGTAATTATCTAAATTCATTATCTCTGGAGAGCAGTAGATGTGTTTGTAAGATCTTGATTCAGAATAAAAAAGCTAATAAAAACATAATAGCATGGAACACATTGGGTTCTTCAGTTGACAACCTTTTAATTGAAAGTATGGCATTTCTCAGATTAAAAAAAAAACCACAAACCTTGATAATGTGTAACTTTCTCATGTGTGGGAAGTTATAAATATGAATGCATGATGAAAATACACTGGTGCTTCCCAAAATTCCAACTTGTATACCTGGATATATCAAGTGTTTTTTCTTTTCCCTTTCAGATAACCATATTTTAATATCAACTTTAGTGATTGCTAGCACAGTAATTCTGACAGTTTTGGGAGCGATCATTTGGTTCTTCTACAAAAGAAACTCTGGTTCTGGTTTCACCACAGTTTTTTCAACTGCACCCCAATCACCTTATAACGACGATTGTGTTTTGGTTGTTGCTGAAGAAAATTGTGTTCAATTTGACTAAACTTCTGATACTCTGAGACCAATACATCTAATACTGATGGTGAATCCTGTGTAATATTTGAATATAAAATGAAAGAAAATAACGTATGATAGTGATCATTCTGGTTACATTATTTATGCACTCATGATAAAAACCAATCTGGTTCAGCCCTTTAAAAAAGGAACCATCTTAGGTACAACTTAGGGATTTTATACTCTTCAAATGCAGAAGCAGCTGAGTGAAGCCTTGTATGGGAGCTTGAGAATGAAGGTATCATTATTTTCCACGTATGGAAAAATTCTAAATATGAATACATAATGCAACTACACTGGTGCTTCCTGATATGCAGTAATTCCAGTTTAAAACTGACAATGAACTACTCCCCCCCCCTCATTTTCACTTATTGCTTCAGAGTGCCATTCATATAATATGGGAAGTTAATACAGCAAAGCTAAATGGGTACAAAACTGTCATTATTATTTTGACATTTCATATGTAGTGCCAAACTACAAATTGTAGAATGTTTTATTCCATCTTGACGTTTTTAGAATGTATACAGATAAAACTGGTATCTTAAAATTTTGTGGTTTAGCTTAAAAGAAATGCAAAGGTAATAGACAAAAACTGATTTGAAGTTTAGATAAAACTTTTTTTTGTCAATCATGGGGCTTGAACTCTGGGCCGAGGTGGGGTCCCTCAGTTCTTCAGCTCAAGGCTAGCGCTCTGCCACTTGAGCCACAATGCCACTTTTCTGAGTGGTCAATTGGAGTCTCATGCCCTTTCCTGCCCAGGCTGGCTCTGAACCACAATCCTCAGGTCTCCTGAGTAGCTAGGATTACAGGCGCGAGCCACTGGAGCCTGGCTAAAACAGTTTTAAAGGAAGTCTTTGAGCACTGTTTAAAAGGAAACAGTTCAAACTATAAATCAATCAATATGCACTTTATTTCAAGCCAAGATTTTACAGAAGAGGAACAAACTAAGTGTGGACAAACTGTTCATTCACATTTGAGAAATAACATGGTTTCTAGGCAGGTTTTGAAAAAGTAGTTTGTTGCCATAACATCAGACTTTTATTTTTGAAACCAAATGCATGTGTTTGTAACCATTTATACTAGGGTGTTGACAAGGAAAAATACAATGTTATGAAAATTCAAACAACTCATAACCACAGTGCAGACTCATTCATGTTGAAAAGGTAATGTTCATGTTTTCCAAAGGTAGTGAAAAATACTAGTAATCATCAAATAAATGCCCAGAATTACCAAGGAACAGTTAAAAATGACCAAGATCCAAACAGGTTATTTTTTAATCATATTTATAAAGAAGTGACAACACTAAAAAGTACATTGAAAACCAGTGTTTTAAACTTTGAAGGTGGGATTTTAAAATATTCCATTAACTTGAGATTGCAGTAATTTTTTTTAACCAAATACCATTTGACTGGCAATTCTCATATAACTTACAGCTATTAAATATCCCCAAAAGGAATACCTACATAACACGGACTATCAAATATAATCTGCATTTTGCAAATCAATATAAAATTTATCCATCATTTCTGTATTTTATATATTTTAAAAATTAGGTTTTAAAGTTAAATGAGTTTAGAATTGAAACTAAATTTGGAAACCTAATATGTTTTTCATAAACTTGTCCCCATTCTTTGCAGGTTTTTCTTTTTTTTTTTAAAGAACACTGGAAGTAAATGATCATGAAAATTTGGCTACAACTTTAAGACATTAAAAAAAATACTCATTAGATGCCATTTGGCATTTCATTTCAAAAGTACATTTTGTCCCATCTTTCTCACTAGCAAGCGACTAAAACACAAACTTGTTTCCCCCATAAATATGGCTACAGTAATCAGAACACAACAAAGGGTTGATGGACAGTGCTTAGGTATTTAAATCAAGGGTAATGCTTTCCCACTCACCTAAAACAAACAAATAAACAAAAAAAACTGCTTTTGATTACCATATTATAAACATCAGATTTGCTGGCCAATGTTAAAAGGGTCCAGCAGAATTTTAATTCAGCAACACTTGAGAATGAATATATATCTACATGGATACATGTATGTATATATATTCATTTTATGTAAGTCAATATATTTAATAGGCATTCCCCACAAAATTATTTCACAATTAATTGCCAGTTTTAATAAACACTTGTTCACAGATCATCCATTTCTCTTAAATGAAGTTAGGCAATATCATATGTTCTGTTATGGTCTCCATCTTCTTCAGAATCATCCTCTGAAGCTGTTAAAAGAAAACATGATGATCAAGAATGATTTAGAGGAGGATGAGAATGGGAAATGTAAATATGAAGCCAGAACAGCAATGACTTGTAATACAAAAATCCCAATTTAGTATACTGTTTGGTCAAAATGCTAAGTTATCATGACTGAGTTAGGGTGGTTTGATTGTGGGTGACACCCATTCATAGCACCCCCACCCCCACACCTTTTTGTGGTGTTACATAGTTTTACAAAAATGAAAATGCTTATAAATGTCGTTCAAGAGGATCTTCTAAACCATTTCTGAGATCAGTTTGTGCTCCTAGTAGCAATGACACATACACTAGAGAAAAAGTAAATTTAAGGCAAGTGCTCTCACACACCTGAGTAGAATCTGGCTTATTACCGCTGCATGTTTGATGCATCCGATGAGAATGAAAAAAAATGTACATAGAATAACAGGTTATGGGTGTTCTTGCAACTTACATTAATGCTATGTCTATACAGTGCCAAGAAAAAGCTTTATTTAGTGTGTCAAAAAAGCTTTATATAGACACAGCTTACGTTATTTAATAATTGGACTCAGTAAAAAACTATTGAGATTACCACCCTGTCTCCAAACTGCCAGAAACATCATTTTTACATTTCTGACCACATTTTATTCCACAATCATTAGTTGTTTGATATTTAATATAAAGCATTTTGTATGTCTTTAAGAAGGACAGAGTAGGAAAAAAACACACAAAAAAACCAACAACAAAGACTCTATAAATAACTGCTTTATATACAAAGGAAAGTGAAAGTTCACTAAAGAAACATCTAACCAACATTTATGGTTAATATACTCTTTTCTTGTATTAGTATTATATGATTTAAGAACACCTAGCAAGTGAAGTCAAACCAGAACAAATTACAGAAAAGTATGAAACATTTATAAATAAAACCTTTTAATATTTGACCCCTAGCTTGTAACTGATAAACCTTTGGTTTATGCTCTCTCATAAAGACTAGAATAGCTTTTCAGAGAGCTTTCTGTTAATTCCACCAAAGAAAATTGAGTTCAAATTGATTTTCAAAATATACTAATATAGTGGTATTTTCTTCCCTTTTTATTCCTATATCACTGGGGATTGAATATGAGGTTTTACAACTGTTAGACCTGAGCTCTGTAACTTGGAGGGTGCCCCGAGTCTTTCTGCTTTTTTACTGTACTTTTTGGACAGGATCTAGTGCATATCACAGTACTGTCTTGGCCCCTCCTCCAGGGTACTTTAGATTACAGACATTTGCCGCACACTGGGCACAGGTACTTTGGGATTCATTTATAGCACTTGCCTCCTTTACTTGAATGTGGGTGTTATTTCATAGCATCTTGTTTCTTTCCTTAAATGCTGGGGAACAAACCTTGCTATGTTTAGGAAGCTATATTCTAAAAGAGATGACAGTTTCCTGAAATAGGAAGTCTGGGGAAAATACGCCAGAACAAATTATTATCGCATCAAAGTTTTGTAGTCAATTAAAGGCTCTAGTTTCAAGAAGCTATAAAGCTTAAAAGCAATTGCACTAAATGAATTCTGACTCCTGTATTTTCACATGTAGGAATTAAAGTTAGTTTTCAAAATGTTCCCAGAGCCACTGATTTCTGTGCCCACCTGGTATGATACGCCACTGAGGTGCTATAGGGCTTTTAAGAGGGCAGGCTGTGGAAGTACTTACATGGTTTTTGTCATGTACAGAGAATTGGGACTTCCCCTCTCTTTTCTTTTTGGGGGTTCTGGTCCAGGGACTGACTTTGGGCCAGGACCAGACCTTTTATGCTCAAACTAGTGCTTTACAAGTTAAGCCATGGCTCCATTTCCAACTTTTTGGTGATTAATTGGACATAGGAGTATCACAGACTTCCTTGCATAAGCTGGCTTCGAACTGTGATCTTCAACCTCATGAGTAGCTAGGATTACAAGCGTGAGCTACCAGTGCCTGTCTAGGACTTTCTCTCTATTTTCCGGAACCATACACAAGTCCAAGGAAAACCCTTAGCAAAGCAAACCTAATAAGTAAAATTTCTTTACACATTAAAAAAAACTAAGAAATATAGTTTAATAGTTAAATAGTATCTTTTTAGTACAAGTGCTAAAATCAAAGTGATTTATTTACAATAAAAGTAAAACAATAATAGTTAAAAAATGTATCCTTCTGTATCTTAAGACAAATACAAATTAAAAGACTAGTGCCAATTGTCCAACTCTTATTTTCCAAGCCAACCCAGCTATCCACCGAAGCTCTAATTTAATCGAAAAGAGTATATATACTTAGATTTTGTTCTGTGGGTTTAATTTGCAAAAGTATATTCAACAAGTCTGGGGAGGGAAATTCCACCTACTTTCGAGATCTTCCATATGTGCCTGAAGAGTTCTTGCAAGGTTAATAAACTAGAAACAATGCAGAAAGAAATACAGTAGTTTAAATGTTGCAAATGGATCTAAAGAGAATCAAGTATAGGAGATTCATTTCTACTTTAAAAAGTAAACACCATTTTAGTCCTTTATACAGGGGTATTTCATCCCCCATGTTAAAAGTCATAACCATAAGGGCATTACTGTTAAATGTTTTATATAATCATTACTAATCATGTAGAAATCCATTTCTTAAAATTAGGGAAAAGTTTAATCTCTCTATGTAATATAATCGTTGTTTATAATTTAAAGTGAAGGGGAGAAAAAAGAAAAACATCAAAATACTTTGGAAGCAAATGAACTAAAATTTGCCTGTCTAGATAGCTGGTAACTGTATACAATTTAAGCCTGTACTTTTTAAAAAAATCCTAGTAACCTCCTAACTTAACCTTGTTAATAACTATTAACTTTTTTTTTAAACGAATGAATTCAATAGGTTTTATAGGCTTTATATGTTTTTTTCTCATTCTCAAAAGTTAGGGGTATCTTTTCAGAAATAATTTTACAGAGTTCATGTCTAAAGAACTGAGGAATCAAAACATCTTTGTTGAAATTCTGAATGCTCTTTTGATAGTTTGTTCTTTTTTTTCTCTCAATGACAACCATCTGTCCACTGATGAAATATAGAGAAGTCTTTTATTAATTTAAGAATATTGTGATTTTGACTTGCAGGTTTTTTGATAATTTTCAAAATAAAAACACTACACTGTAACATGGACTCTACTAAAAAAATTTTATTGCCAAAATGAACATATATATCAAAACAAGTTTGAAGGACATATATAGGAACACAATTCAAGATACTAAGTGTCCAAATGCTAGAGTAATGACAGTAATCATAGGACTTTCTTCATAAAATGGTCAAAACAGTAGATTATAAATTTCCTGTCAGTACACGGAAGCATAGTTAAATCTAACTAGTCTACATCTAAAATTTTAGTTTGTTAGGTAAACACTTAAAAATGAATATACTGGTAATCTTTTACAAAATAATAAGATAAACTGAAGTCCATTTATGACTTTTTTTCCAGCTTTTGGAAGTCAATTGCATGTTTCTTTTTTTTTTTTTTCCTTGGGTGCGGTCGTGGGGCCTGAACTCTGGGCCTGGGCACTGTCCCCCAACTCTTCAGCTCAAAGCTAGCGCTCTACCACTTGAGCCACAGCACCACTTCCGGCTTTTTTCTTTTTGCTTATGTGGTGCTGAGGAATCGAACCCAGGGCCTTGAGCATGCAAGGCAAGTGCTCTACCACTGAGCCACCTTCCCAGCCCTCAATTGCATGTTTCTAAGATGTAAAAACTAAGGACTATTTTTTTTTATTAAAAGAACAGTTTCCCTTGGTGTTTCTAATTCCTTCCTTGTTTCTCAATGAAATATATTCCAATTATATTAAAATTCTCAAAAGAGCTTTCTAAGAAAACTAGGGTGCTTATTGGAGAAGACAGTAATTTCCACTAAATCTACAGTATCTTTATTTTTAAAAAACATCAAACGATAAAAGCTCCCCAGTGAAAACAATATGAACACATAACAAACATTTGCCATATCTCACCCACCCTTTACCTCTACACCAATATTACTTACTCGGACACGTGTGCTTGGTTCATTTGTATTTCCCATCATATCAGAAAAGCTTTGTTCACACAAATGCAGTAACACAACTAGGTAGAGACCAGAGCTGATAAATTCATATTCAGCCTTCAATAGAGCAGCAAACAGGAGAAAAGAAAAAAAGAAAAATTAAAATTATACTGATATTCACACTTTAGTGATAAACTAGAGGAAATATATTCATATCCAGTTCCTTAAGAAGTGTATTATACAAAAACTGACTAGCCTTCATAATTTGTTAAAATTTTTAAATTTCTTTCTTCTTTGTTCTCATTTTCCTTTATGTAATAACTTATATATATAAATTTAGCTTTTAAATAAGCTGATGGTAGAATGCTTTATTTTTTATAAAGCTCTCATTTCCTTTTACAAATGGTTAATAGTGCTTGTTTACTCAAAAATTACTACATTTACCCTAAATAAATATGTTCATCCAGATAGCTCAACTGTTTTTACTTTAGCTTAAAGGGAACAGATTAAGTATGGATAAGGGAAACACATTCCTGAATTCACATAGAATTTTTAATTGGTAAAAATAAAGTTGATTTTTTTTGGAGAGAAGGAAGGGGGAACTGTGCTGGGAGAACTCCACATCTCACACATGCTAGGTAACCACCCTATCTATGAGTTAGTTACAACCCCAACCCTATTAATGTTGGCTGAAGCTGTGAATAAAAATCACAAACACAGCACTGTGTAGCTTTTCACTGTAAATTTTGGCAATTCACATATCTGACACGTCCAATAAAAAATGAGGAAACATTAAACTCATTGCTTAAAATGAGGGTAGTTATCAAGCCACTAGAATTCATGATTTACATATAAAACTAGGCAAAGCCAAGAAGCTGAAACAAGGCTGTCATTGTCTTTACAATGATTCTACCTACAGACCTCTAAATTTTTTAAGAACATGAATCACTAAAATAACTAAATAAAAATTTCCCTTTAATGAAAAACCAGAGCTGGTGTTGAGACATGATGAACATGAAAAGGAGGAGGTAACAAGAGAAAAAACATCCCTTTGAAACCTACTCTCCTCCTGCAAATATACTTTCTTTTTATTCTACCTTTGCATATACTTACTTTGCCCTGTTGTTTAAAATAGTTCACCTGTCATTATAGATTCCTTAAGGATTTAAGACCTTTCATTGCTGAAAGTTATTTTCTTTTTGGACAACTAGCTTAGCAGAGTAAATCAAAATTATAACTGGTATTAAAGTAGCATTTATGCTCTATCAACTAATTTTCATTGTTTAGATCAGTGATTTTCAAACCTGAATCTAAGCAATTCCTTTCAAGGAATCTAGCAATTCCTTAAACTATATATAAGAACTTGTATCTATGTATATATTTTGTAAGAAAAATACATAGGTTTAATCAGTTTTTCAAAGAGTACCCCTTATTCTCATATATCACTTTAAAAGGCTTCACAAAAGACTTCACATTGTATGATTTCATTTTTATGAATTACCCCAAACTGGTAAATCTATAAAACAGAATAAGGATTGGGAGATGCTAGCGCCTAGGAGAAGGAAATGAAAAACACTGTTTAATGGCTACAGGATTTTCTTTTGGAGAGATGAAATAACCTTGGTAATCCTTTTAAACACATTTCTTTTTTCAAGAAAAATACTGAGCTCTTCATTTTAACTGGACTATTTAAATTGCTTACAATTTAGGGAAAGTAAGTTGGCATGCCTACTTGGGACCACTGTCCTAAGCCTTTATTTTTTTCAGACTTATTTATAGAGAAGAAAAATTTATCTTATTAAATTTAAAAGATGAACATGGGTTGTCTTTTACTTTAAATGAGAGGAGAGAAAAAAATGATAAAACTATTAACAATGTAGTAAGAGAGAATTATGTTAAGAATATTATTTAATTTAGAATTTCTGACCATGACTTAAATCTTTTCTTCAAGAGCTGTCCCTTAAGCATAGGATAGACACTTACCAAATTAGGCAAAATATACTAACTTGTTCATTTGCATGAGCTCTATGTAGTTCATGAATATCAAAATCCTCCAGGTTAAGCTGCAACTTTTCTTTACAGAGTTCACAGGTGGTAACAGCCTCTAATGAAGAACCTGACAAAAATTAAACAAGTAAAAGCTAGGTTTTATACTGTTTTCACAAAACATTTTCCCTTAAAATTTTAGGTTAAAATGTAGAAAATCCTACAGATGATATTAGAACAGAAAGTGTAGAGTAAGAAAAGAAAGGGGAAAGGAGGTAAAAGAGGAAGAAAGATGAGACTGTGTACTCCAATAAACCAGTAATGACGCTGAAGATAGTAATCTATAATACCCAATGTGCATACCAGGTTCCTTCCTATGCTACTTAAGCCTCCACCCTTATTTAGATAACTATATCCTAGACACTTTAATATATATAGAGAGGCAATGGAAAATCATCCTTCCAACTTCCTCTTGAAATACCTTGTCATATCATGAATACAATGTTCAGTAGCATTTCAAACAACTAGTTACATATTCAGAACAGTATCTTTGATACACCCAAGACCTTGTGAAATCTAAGCAACTTGACTGGCCTGATGACGAGGAGGGGAAGAAGCCGTAAATGGAATTAAGTTCTCATACATGCTATCACATGAGAATGTGAAGCTATTAACTGAAATGAAGTGCACAAAAATATTTGTTCAAATAATAAACTTTATACATTTAATTTATAGGATATTATCTAAATCAGCCAATTTAAAGAATCAGGAATTAGGAAGAGAAATCAGGGAGTTACTATTCCCTGATTTAGGAGTTTTTTTTTAATCTTGGTTAATAAAAAAGTTTTTAAGAAAGAGATGTTTATAATGACTACACAAAGTTCTCTGAATGCTACTGAAATATTTAAAAATAGTAAAGCCAGAAAATTTTGTTCCATTTTCCCCATGATTAGAAAATAAAATAAATAAATAAATAAAGCAAACAAAAAAAAATCTTTCATTTCATATATCCTCAACATTTAACTATTGTAAGCTCCTGGCTCAAATTTAGTACTCAGTTTTGTCTATGTAATCTTTCCAACTGAAAAAAATCCTAAATTAGTTGTTTTATGAGAAAAGATCTTTAATTTAAAATTAAATATATTCACTGAACTCACATTTGTTGGTGATTATTTTATGCCAAACAGTTACAAAGGCACTAGGAGATTATGAAATAAAAAAGCAGTAGCCCTGTTTTCAAGGAGTAGGTAAGTCTTATAACTAGCACTACTTAATAGTAAACAAAAAAGGCATTAAGACAGTAGTAACTTAAGCACATTTTCTAGAGAACAGACGAAAGTACTCCTCTGAGAAAGTACGTTGACCATCCTGTCTCAAATCAGTTGTAGACAGATGCATTGTATTTTCACTATATACTTAGGTAGTGTTTGGTCCAAGAAAAAATTCATATACAATAATGGTCCCATGAAAACATAATGGAAGGGCTGAGAAGGTGTCTCAGTGGTAGAGCGCTTGCCTTGCATGCATGAAGCCCTGGGTTCCATTCCTCAGCACTACATAAGCAGAAAAAGCCGGAAAACAAAACAAAACAAACAAACAAAAACATAAAGGAATAGGCCCAGCACCCATGGGCCCAGCTATATTGGAGATTAGAAGCATATTCCTATTAGGCCAGCTTTTTTAGAAAGGAGTATACAGGGGTAATGACAGATTTAGAAAACCCTCATCTCAGCCAATAATGGTGTTTTACGCGTGTTTTCTGAGCTACATAGGAAGTATAAATAGAAGAATCACATGTCAATTCTTAAATACTGTTTTTCTAAATATTAAGACAAAAAAGGGTGAAGGTATGGCTCAAGTTGTGAAGTACCTAGCAAGCACAAAGCCCTGAGCTCAAACTCCAGTACTACCACCAAAGCAAACTAAACAAAAAGTGTCAGGCTTGGGAACAGGAAGTTTCCAGATTCCCCTCTACCCCACAATCTCTTTCCTAAACTTAATGCCTGAACCACAGTGACTATATACTCTTCAATGTTCCTTTTTCCGAGGCCCTTGTACTTCATAACCAAAAGGGAAAACAGTTGCTCCCCTCTGGTGTTTGCAAACCTTACATCCCTCTCATTACTAATGACTTTTAGCACCTGGACAGCTACCTATCTTCAACAACTTATTTCTTGGTTATTTCAACATTCACAGACCATTCATTTTGTATTCTTAAGTTATTCAACCGTCTTGCTTCCAAACATTACCTTTCCTACCTTGACTTATTCACTGCACCCACTAGGATCTGCACTTAAAAATACCACCTTGTGCTTATTTTGTCAACAATTTATTATTGTAGCTAACCTACGCTGACAACTCTCTTCAATGTCAATGAGATTCAAAAAGAGACTATCACTGCCCTAACTGCTCCTACTGGCTTTGATTTACATGATTATGACCACCATAATTATATCCTTACAGATGTCCTTAACTCCCTTTAGTATTTTTACTCCAGAAGCCAAACCCAATAAACTCCATTCTATATTCAAGAATCTAAAAAATGCACATTTTACTGTAAAATACTACTACTACTACTAATTTTAGTTTTACTGTGTTCTATGCCAAACCCAGGACCCCCCCCCAATGTATGTATGTGTGTTGTATAAAACATATATAATAACACACACATATATTATACAAGTGCTTTTATTAAGCTACAATCACAACATTAAAATCACTTTATGGGCATTGCAGCTGCCTAGAAATCCTACTATACAGCCTTAGCATGTTATTTTCCCCATGTTTGAGAATTTTCTAATCCGTCTCTCAAAGACCTAAAGAAGACAGAACTAGAATCAATTAAATTGCAGGTCATGCATCTTCTCATTAAAAGAACAAATTGATTAACATCTATCATTCATACTAGTTTTCTAGAATTGAAATATCTTTTCTGCTATTAAAGGGTAGCCTTTAAACTTCGTATTCTATCATTAATTACTTTTTTCTTTGTGGTGATATAGGAGCTTGAACTTAAGGGCTTGGGTACTGTCCTTGAGCTTTTTCGTTCACAGCTGTGCTCTACCACTTGAGCTACAGCTTCACTTCTGGCTTTTTGGTTGCTAATTGGAAATAAAGTCTTACAGACTTTCCTGTCAAGGATGGCTTCAACCTCACTCCTCAGATCTCAGGCTCTTGGATAGGATTACAGTACCTGGCCCCATCATTTTATCCCCCAAATCATCTCTATTGGCTTCTCTGAAATAGAGAAACAGCCCGAAACTCTCTTCCCTCAAAATAAAACAAAAACACTGTATGATCCCCATCTATAATGCATACTTCATATCTTCAGTCTCTTTGATAGCTGTTTGTTGGGAGAAGTCTATGCGTCAGTCTTCCTTTTTAAACTTTTTCATCTCCTCAGTTCAGTCTAATCAGGTTCATGAACCTATTACTTCACAGAAACTGAATGCCAAAAGCAACTGTTTTATCACATCCAATGTTCATTTCATGGTCTCACCTTTCTTGAACCATGACCAGTACTGGGTTGATCTCTAGTGATTAAACTCAAGATATATCTACTTGCTAAGCAAGTGCTCCACTTGAGCCATGCTCTGAATCTAGTCACACTCTCTTTAAAGATTTCTTTTGGCTTGCACAACATGACATTTTCTTAGTTTTTTCCCTGACTGGAGGCTGCTACTCAAATGTCCATTCTATAGGTATCCTAAGCATCCTTAGACATCTGGTCATTCTCTAGGTGTTCATTTAATCTCAAAGCCTCAAATGCTACTTATGTCCTTATGATAACTAAAACTACTATTGAGTATTTCTTCTGAAACGCCAGGCTGGTGTAGCTAATGACTGACATTTTCTATATAGTTACCTAAAATGAATTTCTGTGAAAAACAATGCTTGGTTACCTGTCTGTCAGAAGAGAAATTCCATTTTTAACTTCCCTATTTCAGTAAAAGGAACACTATTTAATTAGTTGCTCAAGGCAAAAATAGAGCTTCCCTAATTATTCTTTCTCCTTTATTCAAGACTAAATGAATCTATCTCCAAAACAACCCAAAATCTATCCATTTCTATCACTGTCCTCATCATTACCACATCTATAGCTAGCTATCACCAATTCTGGTAAATGCTACTCTAATAAACTCTTGAATGGTCTCCCTGCTTCCATTTTCCCCCATACTTTTCTCTAGAGCAAGCAATATACATACGATTATTTCATTTTAGTCTCTAGTGTGTTTCATCATTGGGTTAGATGAAAAAAAAAAAAAGTCTAAGGTGCATACCCATGACTCATGCCTATAATTCTAGCTACTCAGGAGGCTAAGATCTGAGAATTGAGGTTTGAAGCCAGTCTGTGCAGGAGAGTCCATGAAACTTATCTACAATAAACCATCAAAAAGCTGGAAGTAAAGCTGTTGCTCAAGTGGTAGAGCACTTACCTTGAGCAACAAAACAAAACCTCAGGGTCATCTCCCAGGCCCTTAGTTTAATAAGTCCCAGGACTGGCATGTGTAAGCATATGCACATGTGTGTGTGCACACACATATGCACACACTCCTAAGTTTTAGGCCTTATCTTTAAGTCCTTCATGAGCTAGCCTCTGCTCTCTCTCATTTCAACTATGTATCACCCCTCTTCCAACCCCTATTGATATCAGCCACACTATGCATCATTCAATTTCTACACCAAAAGTCATTCCGACCTAAAAGTCCATGTAGTAGCTATTCTTCCTCATACAACGCTCTTGGCTCTTCATTCTAGAATAGCTAGCTCTTATTACTAAGCTCAGTAACATGTCCTCCCCTAAGACATCCCCGGATCAACTAATACCACCACAAGAGGTCTCATCTTTTTTATTACCATGCTACAGCTCCACCTACAATTGAATTGTGCTTGGCTTCATCACAGGCAATCCATGAACAAATGAATCTCTTAATTTGCTAAATGACACCAAAGCATGACAAGCAATTTATCTTTTCTAGGATACATAGCTGGCAAATGTATTTCTTTGATTAAAAAAAAAAAGGATTTTATATGATATACCAAGCAATTACAAATTTTAACTGTACTATTCATGTATAAAGTTGTTCTTTGGTAATATTTTTAAAAAGTACTATGACTACATTCACAAAGCAAGGCTAATGTTCACGGCTGTGTTGTTACTTCAAAACTGATTTAGATATAATTATTAAGACTTTTAATAATAGTAAATTGCAACGAATCTGCTAACCAAAATGTATACATACATGCATCTCTTAGGATGAGTCTTACCAGAATTGATTTTGGCCTGTAACCACTTTTTCATACACTCTTGGTGGACATACTGCAAACTTCCTGTGCACTTGCATGGCTCTATCAGCAAATTAGATGATGATGCTGCTGCCATTTGACAGATTCTACATAAGTCACCTTCCTCTTCTTCAGAATCCTCTAAAAGGAGGCTAGAAAAGAAAGCACATTTTCTTGAGCTTTCACAACTTAATCATTTCTTCTGATACATAATTCCAATTTCTTTTTTTTGTCATTTCTATGCTTGCTGAGTAGAAAAAAGAAAAGCAGTAACAAGAAAAAAATAAAAATTGGCTGGGAATGTGGCTTAGTGGTAAAGTGCTTGTCTAGCATGCATGAACCCTGGGTTCGATTCCTCAGTACCCCATAAACAGAAAAAGTTGGAAGTGGTGCTGTGGCTCAAGTGGTAGAGTGCTAGCTTTGAGCAAGAAGCAGTTCGGGGACAGTGCGAAGACCCTGAGTTCAAGCCCAAGACTGGAAGTCCCCCCCCCCGCAAAAAAACAGTAACCATCATGAAAATAACTTCATTGAAAATTCAGTAATTACTTAGCAAACAAAATAGGCTATATCAACACTGATTTTCAAATGATATAATTTTACCTTTAGTAACAGTTTAAGTTCCCTATTTTTCAAAAATCACTTTAAGTAACTACAGTACCCTCTAGAATACTTCAAATCCAACATTATAAAGGTGAAATATATAAACCTATGTTTCCCACTTGTGAACACATTTTAGGACTTTTTCAATGAATCAAACACCTAATGAATTGTGGTTTGCCATTTCAAAGTTATCAGAATGGAATTTTTACACTGATAAACTTCTAAAATTGGATCACAATAAAAAACTGGTTATAGCGATTTGAAGTATACCTAGATTCCTAGTAAACTTGCAAGACTTGTGCAGAGTTAAATATACAACTGCCCTATGTTAATCAGAAATGACCTCAAGTATAAATTATTTTGAAACACTGAAAATGAAAATCTGATATTTATTTTACCTTTAAATTTCCTAATTCCAATTATGTTTCTTAAATTTACTATATTTTGCACTTTAGCTACAGAACTCTTAAAATCCTCCAAAATAGAGGAAAAGAGACACAGTCTCTTCCTCTCTGGTAACTCAAGAGTGTAACAGTGCTTTCTTCAATAGAAGTTTCCACAATGTGCAAACACTGAAGTTAAAATACCTCCGGAGTAAATCTCTTTCTACAAGGAAAATTTTTTTTTTTTTTTTTTTTCCCTTGCTTGGCAGGTCTGGAGTTTAAATTTGGTCTTGAATTAGCTAGGATGGCACTCTAAAACCTGAGTTCAGCCCTGCTCATTACTTCTGCCTGGGCTGGCTTCAAACTGAGTTTCCAGATCTTAGCCTCTTGAGTAGATAAGATTACAGGCATAAGCCACATGACTGTGAAGTAGTAAGTTTAACAGCAGAAAAACAGTAGCTACATGGCAAAGTAGGAATAAAGTAGTCCAAGATCTAGAAAGCAGATTAATATTCCTTTGTGGATTTGAATAGAATATTTCTTCAAGTACAAAAGTATCTAGAATTATAGTAACAATGTATGCTACTGCCTCCCTAATGTTAGTTTTATGTCTTACCATATATGGTACAAATATATTTTACATTCAAATATTATTATTATTATTTTTTGGGTCCAGTCGTGGGGCTTGAACTCGGCCTGGGCGCTGTCCCTCAGCTCTTCAGCTCAAGGCTAGCGCTCTACCACTTGAGCCACAGCGCCACTTCCGGCTTTTTTCTTTTTGCTTATGTGGTGCTGAGGAATCGAACCCAGGGCCTCAGGCATGCAAGGCAAGCGCTCTACCACTGAGTCACCTTCCCAGCCCCTACATTCAAATATTCTATCCTATATTATCATGAAAATTACTTTAATGCTAACTATAAAATTAACCATTAAGATTGGACCTGGAATTTTTGGTCTTTCTTCTTTTTCCCCTCCACTTTTTCCTCTTACCAGTATTATGTTACACTTACCTGTGTAAACCATTTCATTTATATAAAAAAATTCTGTCAAATGCTGGTGGCTCATACCTATAATCCAAGCTACTTGGGAGGCTGAGATCTGAGGATCACAATTCAAAGATAGCCCAGCCAGGAAAGTCCGTGAGACTCTCATCTCCAATTAACTGCCAGAAAACCGAAGTGGAACTGTGGCTTAAAGTAGTAGAGCACTAGCCTTGAGCAGAAAAGCTCAGGGACAGTGCCCAGGCTGAGTTCATGCCCCACAACTGACCCTAAAAAATAACTGGAGTAATTCTAAGCCTAGAATCTTAGATGGCATTTTTGCCAATCCTAAATATGAAGTAAATATATTCCATATCTAATTGGACTTCAAAAACAAAATTTTGTGAATATGATCTTACTAAATTCCATAAAGGATTTAAGAAACAAACAGACGGTAAACAATCAGGCTTATAGTATTTACTGATAATCCATGATAACTGAGATCCTCTTGCTAATGCCATTTAGCACTGTTTATAAAGGGAAAGCTAAGAATTGTTGTTGTTACTGGTCCTGGGGCTTGAACTCAGTCTAGGTGCTGTCTGTGAGCTTATGTTGCTAGCACTCTATCACTTGAGCCACAACTCTACTTCCAACTCTTTTGGTAGTTTAGTGGAAATATGAGTCTCACAGCCTGGGCTGGCTTCAAATTGTAATCCTCAGATCTCAGACTCCTAGGCATGCCCAGCAAAGGGACAGTATAACAAAGCATTGATTTGTCTGTATGTTGTGTTTCCCAAGCTGGTGAAAAGTAAACTTTAGATTTCTTTATGCAATTCACAAACCCACTGCATACCTCATTATTAATTCTGATCCGTTTATCAATGAGATAGCAACATCATCTAGATTTAAATGTCTTATAAGGGAAGAAATGGGTTATTGATCAGTTTTGGAAATTATAGTCATTTTTAGAAAGAGTTGTCTAATGTGATGTAGCTTTACAGCTTAAGATGGGCAATCAAATTTACCTCTCTTTTATTTTCTGCAGTCTTTCTGGATCTCTTGAAGGTGCACTTTTACTTTTATCTCCTTTTCCATCAGCTGAATTCCAACCTGAAGGAATAATATCTACAGTGATCATGACATTGTCAGCCAAATTACTTCCAAGTGCTGGAGGGACAGCAAATCGGAACAAGGAACCAGGAAGAATTCCTGTTATTCCTGTATTTCTTCCACCATGAGGCAAATCTGATGTGGACCCACCTACAGAGCCATTACTTGATGCTCCAGATGGTTGTGGTCTGTTGGCAGCAGCCCCAAGTGGATCACTTGGTGTTTCAAGGTGAACTATTTCATTTGCTTCTCTTCTAAAAATATGAGATCTAGATGGTAAATCAGAGGTAGGTATCCTTGAAGATTCATCTCTTCCCTCTCGTCTCCTTCTAGAGAACAAAGGTGTGCATCTATTTCTAAGTGAGGAAGATAACCATGGTCCTGTATTCCTTCCTTCAGATTCTTGGCTGAAACTTTCTGAATCTGGCTCAGAGCTATGATTTTGACTAAGAGATGACAAACCCCATCTTCGCCTAAGAAATCGAAATCCCTGAGAAGCTTCAGAAGCCCTATTATCATGAGCTTCAGAAGCTGATGCTGCATTACTCCGAGACTGTGAAGATGTCAAGATTCTTGGAGAAATGTAAGAATTTTCAGAACTCAATGATCTTGCATTCAAGGAATCCTGGCTAGATCTTCTGGGAAAAAAAGTAGATGACATGCTAGAAGCGATACGTGAAAGCAATCTCCTTGTTGTACGCCTACCTTCGTTATCAGAAGATTCTGGAAATGATCTTTGAGATGAACCAATCCTTTCTGAATTACTTATTGTTGGGGGGGTCTCATCTCTACTTGAAATATAAGAAAATCCAGGATGTGTACTGCTTCGGAGAGACTCTGATTCTCTTGGGAAAAAATGTGACCTTAAAGAATTTCTGCTGGAGTCCCTAGAACTTGGTATTGTATGACGTTCAGAAGGCAATTGGTGGCTTGTGGATGATGTATTCAATTGTAAAGTGCTTACAGAGTTCTCTTTTGGTCTTGCTCCCTGTGAATATGAAGAATGAACTCTGTCTTGAACATCTATTTTTGAAAGAAGGAAAGGCAACCAATTATATGACAAAATTTCAGTATAATTAAACTTGTATTTATACTTACTGCCATAATTAAACATTATGTTCGAAATGAATACTGCTATCCTGCCTACAGCTTCATTATTATTATAAAAAATATATATTTCTCATTCTATACCTACTGGTAAAATCCAGGACTGTGACAGTTGCCATTATAAATTATAAAGAATACAACAAGAGTTAAAGAAAAGCAAACAATTAAAAGCAGTTGAATTTAGAAACTGATAATAGAAAAACATTTCAGGATCTAAATTGACGCAGAACTTTAAATATGCCAGTTAATGTAATATAATGACTCACAATGACTAAAAGCAAAATCATTCTACAGAGATTGTGTTTTGGAGGCTCTTCTTACTCCATGCAATACATCTTTAAAAAGCTACATCAGTACTATTATTTGCTATTTTTGGACAAACTTTACTAAAGCAGTATTTTTTGGTGGTACTGAGCTTTGAACTCAGGGTCTCATTTTTCTAGACAAGGCACTCAACTGCTGAGCCATGGTTCCAGCCCTTTTTATGGTACTGGAATTATTTGAGGTAAAGTCTTGCTTCCTGTCCCAGCATGTGTCTTGGATGTACTTCGCCTATACCCCATCTCTATACACTATACCCCATCTCTGTGTTGAGAAGGGGTCCTGAGAACTTTTCTACCTGTGCTGGCTTTGAACTATGATCTTCCCATGCTCAGCCTGCCAAACAGCTAAGATAACAGGCCTAAGCTACCAACACATGGTCTTTTCCCTCTAATCTTCAAGTTAACAGCAGTCATACTTAACTCTAGTTATTCACTACTTTTGCTTTTTAATAATGGCTTGGAACTAAGTCAACATAGGATATTATGGCATTTATGTTAAATTTTTTAAAAAAATATTTTAACTGAACATAATAGCCCAGTTATCCCAAAACCCAGATGGCCAAATCAAAAAGATGTCAAGTTCCAGATTAATCTGGGATCCACAGGAAGTCATTGTTTCAAAGCAAATGGACTCACACAAAACTGTAACTAATTCTATGAATCTTCAAGACAAACAAGAAACATTATAGGATTCATTTGTGAAAAATTTGCAGACACACACAAGGCTAAGTACATGATTTCTTTGGTCTCATGAAAGCCCTTAAATCTATTTCTGTCCCTGTACTTTTACTAAACCTAAACATAAACTGTGACTGTTTTTGAAAAGCTTTCTACGTACGAGATAGAAACTACACAGGTAGGTCAAAAACACTCATGCTTATTTCTAAATTATGCTTTGAAATGATGCTTTCAACATTATTTCACAATTAGAAATACTTATTGCACTGTGTTATAGGCAAGCCACAGTTGAGTAGTATGACATGCACATTCATTCCTAAAAGGAAAAAAATTAGAAAATTAAACGGCACATGGAATCTGAATATTTACATATACTGCTTTTACACTGTTTTCATTTTTAAAGTAAAAACAAAGGACTAAAAATTATCATGATGTTCTGAAACCTTCATTCAGTCTTAAGATTCTTAAAATTTATTCTTTTGTACTTATATTTCAATGACATACAAAGAAAATATAACATTACTAGATAAGCTATACTGAACAATGCAGTTTATACATACATGATGAAGTTGGGAAATCACCACTTCGGTGACTATAATCCATAAGATTACTAAGGGAGGAATCTGTTCTCCTCTCCATATCTCTCCTTTCTCTCATTAAGTCTGTTCCAAATGAGCCAAGTACCATTGATGAAGATCTGGGAACTTGACTATGCCTCCAAGAAGAATCTTAAAATAATTGGAGAAGTTTTATTTCAGAAAAAATTTCCAAGTTTCCAATCTTTATTAATAAATCTTTACTAATACAGAAGGAGGTTACTATGACTTATTCTGGGAAGCCCCAGTTATATAGTTGTTAGCAAAAGCAAAACTCAGAAAAACACAAAATCATTGACTTAATGAACTTACAAAATTGTTTCTTACGTAAACATTCTTGTTTTTGTTTCTTTGGTGCTGGGAATAGCACCCAGAGCCTCACACATGTTGAGTATGTGCACATATTATACATGAAAACATACTCAATACTAAAATTTACCCTCATAAATGATAATTATTTCAGTCTCCACAACTATTGACAATATAAATGTAAACAGACACAAAAAGCCATTGAAGGGGCTGGGGGTTTAGCCCAGCGGAAGGGCGCCCGCCTGGCGAGCACAAGGCCGTGGGTTTGGTTCTCAGCCCTGGTTTAAAAAAAAAAAAAAAAAAAGCCATTGAAAGCAATATTGGAAAACTGCGGGAACAGTCAAAGCTGTCGTGATGGAAGTTCAATTATAAATTATAATACAGTTAATTTCTTTCTTTTCCTTCCTTCCTTTCTTTCTCTCCTTCCTTCCTTCTTTTTTCTCCTTCCTTCCTTCCCCCACCACCCTCCTCTTTCTTTTCTTTTTGCCAGTCTTGGGGCTTGAACTCAGGGCCTGGGCACTGTCCCTGACCTTCTTTAGCTCAAAGCCAGCACTCTACCACTTGAGTCACAGTGCTACTTCCAGGTTTTTCTGTTTATTTGGTACTGAGGAATTGAACCCAGGGCTTCATGCATGCAAGGCAAGCACTGTACCACTAAACCACATTCCCAGCCCCATAGATACAATTTCATCACAAAACATTTTCTTAGTGCTAGAAATTTGAACTCAAAACTTCACATATATTAAGCATGGTACTCTACCACTGATCTATACTATCTGCTGGAGAAGACTTTTGTTACTGCTACATTTAGTTCCTTCTTTGTTTTGAACTGTAATACAAATGGTATATGATTTCATTCAAATTAAGTTAAAAATTCACTCATGAACCTTTTGTCTTTTCTTCATTACTTATTTTGCAGTTTTGCCTCCACCTTCTGTAGTTTCAACAGATTAAGAATTTCTCTTTTTTAAGGGAAATGGCACAGTGTATTTAATGTTATGCCATCATACAGAGAACAAAACAGATCTGCACAGTAGTGTTTGTTTATGCTAAGGTATGCTCTCCTTATTTCACTCACTAGTCTTAATATCTTTCAGATGAACAGTGATACTTCTATAAAGGGCTTGTTTCAAATAGGTATAGCTTACATCAATTCAATTGAATTTTTTTTCATTTCTTACATTTATTTATCTTCCAAGTATTTTTGATCTTGTAGACATTTTAAAAATTAGAATTTTTCAGTATTTAAATTATCTTAAGGAACATTAGGAATGAAAAGAAATATATGCAATACAAAATATAGACCATAGAGTTTTGTAGGCAAATAACTTGCCCAATGCCACTTTTCTACTTAAAGACAGCTACAATCAGTTTTCTAATTCCTTTTTATACTTATGAGATTAGTACCACTATCATTTTTTTGTAAATTGGCAAGTTTCCACAACTCATAAAAATAAGTATTACATAACATAATGTTTATCATTTCCAAAAGACATGCTTAGGAATGTTCAGTTAATTATAATGAATTAAAAGTCTGCTAATAGCCTGTTTACTATAGGATATTTATATGAAATTCAAAACAAAAATGCAAAATGCAGTTAATTTCAGTTCTAACATTAACTTACCGTAAAATGTTATACATTCTACGTTTCCATTTCTATTTGCTTAATCCCAAATCTAAGAAAAATTGTGTTATATATTGGAAAAAATAATTTAGTTCAAATATATACCTGGCAACTTTTATAGAAATTAAATAATTCTTACCTGATACAGAACTTAATCCATTTCCAACATTTCTTGAAGCTGAGGTAGATGTACAGTTTGTACAGGAAAGTTTAGGTCTTTTTGAATCATGATCCCGTTGCTGGTTCTGTGATCTTGAGCGAGCCCCCTGAGTTATTTCAGATTCACTATACCATGTAGACTGAAATGGTGATGCTGATGCCGATGCTGACTATAAATTAAAAAAAAATTAATGAACAACAAAATACCTGCATCCAATATAAAATTTAATCTCTAATAGTCCAATACATTTTCTAGGAGCCATTTATTCCCCAAGTACTAATTTGCCATCATGAAGATTTGTCTTAAAATTCTGTTCCATTCTACTCATTCCTTTTCTACATTCTGCAACTGTATTTGCTATGCAAGCAATCTGATTTAAATAAAATCTTCTTTGCAGCTATATATACATGCCTAGCTATAAAACAGTGAGATACAAACACTTTATAATTATTTTTCAGGGGGAAGTAGTTCAATCTTCTTAGAAACTTGTTTTAACTTCTTAAAGATATACAAAATATCCAAGAACAGCATGGATCCATAAGATGTTTGCAAATGCCTTACTATGAAATAGAGATTTTTACATGTAATGACATTCTTTTTTCAAATTATTTCTAGTTAGGTATAATGCACGCTTACAGTGATCACTCAAGAAGATTTTAAGTGCCAGGATAGCCAGGGATGCACAGCAAGAACCTGCCTGAAAATACAACCAGCCAGGTGTCAGTGGTGCCAGTGGCTCACACATGTAACATTACCTACTCCAGAGGCTGAGATCTGAGGATTATGGTTCAAGGCAGGAAAGATAGTGAGACTTTTATATCTAACCAGCAAAATTCCAGTAGTGGAACTGTGGGTTAAGTAGCAGAGTTCCTGCCTTGAGCAAAAAAGCTAAGGGATTAGCACCCTAGCACCCCTTCAGTTCAAGACAAAACACAAAATAATAAAATAAGCAACAATAAAAATAAAACCAAACATCCCTGAGGCACGAATGTAGCTTAGTTGTTGTGAGGTCACAAAACAAAAACAAAAATAAAAAACAAAAGCCCTTACTGATCTCATTCGTCATCTCAGAATGTATAGATAGATAACACTAATAATTGTGTATATAAAAAAGCAGAGAGAGCCATGTACGGTGGCTCATACCTGTAATCCTAGCTACTCAGGAGGCGGAGACCTGGGGATCATGGTTCAAAACCATCCCAGGCAGGAAAGTCCATGAGAATAAACTACTTAGAAAAATCCAGAAGTGGCACTGTGGTAGAACCCTAGCCCTAAGCACAAAGAGGCTCAGGGACAGAGCCGAGGCCCTGACAAAAAAAGAAAACAAAATAGGCAAAGAAATCCTAAAATCTAGAAATTCTTCACCAGAACTCAAGCTATAACAAAGAATATATTTATGGGGCCGGGAAGGTGGCTCAACAGTAGAGTGCTTGCCTCACATGCATGAGGTCCTTGGTTCGATTCCTCAGCACCATATAAACAGAAAAGGCTGGAAGTAACATGGTGACTCAAGTGGTAGAGCGCTAGCCTTGAGCTGAAGAGCTGAGGGACAGCGCCCAGGTCTAGAGTTCAAGCCCCACAACCAATAAAAAAAAAAACACAAAAAAGAACATATTTATAAATTCTTAGCTGTTTTCCTAACATATAAATATGTGAACACAAAATATCCCCATAAACACCATTAAATTATACAAACTACTATACTCTAATTCCTTAAGCATTTTACTAAATATGATGCATAAAATCTACTCTAATCCACTCTAATCTCCATAAAAATGTTATTTAAGCTGGTGGCTCATGTCTATAAACCTAGCTACTTTAGTGGCTTAGAAAACAGAAAAGTCTCTGAGACTTTATCTCCAATTAAAGCTGGACTACAGGTGTGTGTTAAGTGTAGAGTGTTGGCCAGAAGCAAAATAGCCAATTGAGAGCTAAAGTCTCTGACAGCTAAAGTCCTCAAGTCTAACCCCCATTACTGACACAGGTAAGCAAACAAAAAGTGGTAGTTTAAATACAAACAACAAACACAAGCCAGGTTTGAAAGTGCAACCTGGCACAACAGTACCAGGTTGCTGAAGGGGAGGATCACAAGTTTCAAGATAGCTTGGGTCTACCTAGCTAGACCTTCTCTGAAAAAAAAATAGCAAAAAACCCAAGAGGTGTTTGAAGCAGAAGCAAATAGAATTTTATATCAGTTTGGGCAAACTTAAAAACTTAATGACACCATCTCAGAAAGAAAATACAAACAAAAGGGTTGGGAGTGTGGTTCAAGTGTTAACAGTATTTGCCTAGTATGAATGAGTTCCTGGATTTAATCTCAATATTGAGGGGCAAATCAAAACAAAACCCAAAACATATTTAAGTCACACATACAGTACATACTATCTGCTATGTTCAGAGATGGTAGGACTAAAGTATCTGGTATATGACTCATAAGAATATACCAACAAGGCTAGGAATGTGGCTCAGTGGTAGAGTGCTTGCCTTACATGCACGAGGCCCTGGGTTCAATTCCTCAGCACCACATAAGCAGGAAAAGCTGGAAGTGGCACTGTGGTTCAAGCGGTAGAATGCTAGCCTTGAGCTGAAGAGCTGAGGGACAGCGCCCAGGCCCACAGTTCAGGTCCCATGACCAACAAAAAAAAAAAAAATATACCAACATAAACAAAGTTCTAAGCCAGAATTAGAACTGTGGCTCAACTGGTAGAGCCTAGTTTTGGGCAAAAAAAGCTCAAAAGAACAGTACCCAGGACCCAAGTTCAAGACTCAGGATCACTAAATATACATGTGTGCATATCCACACACACACACACACACACAAAATCCCAGGCACCAAGTTCAAGCCCTAAGAACAGCACACACACACACACACACACACACACACACAATTGGTGGATTAGAATGTTTTGTATTGAAATGTGACAATGAAATCCCCTTTTATATAATTAACATAAGCTAATTAAAAATACTAAAAATAAACTATGGTGACGGTTGCATAGCTCATACGTAAATACTAAAATCTGCTCAACTATGTACATATACTTTAAACAGGCAAAGTGCATGGTATGGGAAATTACAATTCAATGAGATTTTTTCAGAAACTGAATTTTAAGGCTTATAAGTAGAATCAATATTATATACTAGCAAATAACCAGTAATAGAAGCAGAGAATGACATGTTTTTCTACAGCTCCTGATTTCCATGAATTGTGTGATTAATAAATTCTGCTTTCAAAATTTTTCATAAAATTGGATCTTTTTATTACCTTAAATATTCATGTGATAAGACTATCTATTTCTGCACTAATACAGTAAAACCCTAGTCTAGTTTTGACTCAATATGGGTGGTTCTTTATTTTCAGCAGAAAGGTATTAGTTGATCTTCATATAAGGATTCATCTATACCGAATTTTATGAGAATGCCTAAGCAAGAAATTATACTGATAAACTATAAGAAATTATACATTAAAACTATAAGAAATTATACATATAAACTATATGGATAAACTATAAGGATTTACAGTCTATTTATCCCTCAAGACATGCTACATAAAACACTTGGCTCAAAACAAGACCACCAGCCGGGTGTTGACGGCTCACGCCTGTAATCCTAGCTACTCAGGAGGCTGAGATCTGAGGATCAAGGTTCAAAATCAGCCCGGGCAGAAATGAGACTCTTATCTCCAATTAACTACCACAAAACCTGAAGTAGCAGTATGGCTCAAGTGGTGGAGCACTAGCCTGGAACTGAAGAGCACGGGACAGGGCCCAAGCCCAGAGTTCAAGCCCCACACCGACAAAAATAAAACTACTTTCACTTTTCCTTTAATGTTTTCTATATCTGAACATACCTACCTCTGGGAAAGCTACTCTTAAGAAAGGTAGACTAAAAGCAATACCATAGGTTCTGTTAATTTTGGGGAAAACATACTATACAAAACATACAATGCTATTGATCTCTACAGCATTTGATCTAGAAGTTAGAAAAAGGAGTGTGTCTTTTAGGTGGGATTATTTCATGGTCATTAAACGGTCAATTACCTGATGTTCGGTGCTTCTACTTAACAGAAGAAAACACCTAATTTTAAAAACTGTAACAAAAGAAACATGTTGGGCAGAAGTGTGAAAATAGTTTTTAGTTGGACTGGCAGTGTGGCTCAAAGTGTTACAGCACCAGGCAGGAGCAAGAAAGTCAAGTGATAGCTGAGAGCTTGAGGTTCTGAGTTCAAGCCCTTGCAACAAACAAACAATAAAAAAAAGGAAAAAGAAATAGTCTTTATAATCTAGTGCATGTCAATAAATCTAAATATATCTGGAGGCAGTACCTGAAGTAGAGTTTACTTGCTATAACACAACCAACCAATGCAGTAGCAGACAGTATTTAGTGTACCAATTCATTTAATTTTTTGTCTGTATTGAGGTTTGAAGTTAGAGATTTGAGTTTTCTGGGTAGGCACTGAACCATCTAAACCAGTCAGCCCTTTTTATTCTTGGAATAGGGTTTCTTTGGTTGGGGTTACCTTGAACTGATCCTACTTTTATTTCACACTTCACACATAGCGGGGAGACAGGTGCATACCACATCCAGTTTTTATTGGATGAGGTAGGTGGGAATCTTGTATGAACTTTCAGGATCACTGAAACTACTACTGTTGATCCATTCTCAGTCTCACAAACAGCTAGAATTAAAATATGTCCATCATGCCTAAGCTAATTTTTAGCAATCATACCAGGTAGCTCAAATATAGAAAAAAGAAGTAATTCACCAAGGTCTGTATGGCTTAAAACAAAATTCAGAATTTGTGTTTTCCATTAATAAAATATTTGGAAACAATTACATCAGTAGACAAAATTTTATGTACTATCAATAATTTAACCTTTAAAATAAGATTTAAGCAAACAGTTCACATATAATCAATGATAGAACATTTGCCTAGCGTGAGCAAATGTTTGCCCGACACCATAAAAAACAAAACATACAAATTAAAAGCAATTAGGAGTAGAAAGTACATTTTGAAAAAACTTCTTTAACTTCACTTTTCCCCTAAATACTTTATTACTATGTAATTTTTTTTTACATGATACCTTGTATATCACATACCTGTTCAACACCTCACCAATTTTAACTCCCCTTCTTCCAAAAAGCAATATATTTAAAAGTCATACTCTCAAAAGTAACATTTAAAATCCTTCCTCTCACTGTGCTTTGTGTACATGCAAAGGAAATCAGATGAAGTGTGTGCTGGTAAAGATACAGTTTTTGGCCTGATGATAAACCTATTCAAATTCATCACTTCAAACAAATTGGTATTTATGTTCAAGTACAAAGTTTTCTATCTTTGCAAAGCAATTTAAATACAGCCTGAATTATGAAGTCCAAAACTTTTGAATATTAGCCATTTATTTTGTTAATATTTTAATAATATTTTGATTATAGGATGTCTCAAATCTGGCTTACATGTGTCCCAAACTAAAACATTACCTGATATTCAGAATCCAGTCTAAATGAAGAGTCTCTGGAACGGTAGGTTTCATTTAAACTATTTCCTCTGCTTCCAGACATCACTCTAGCACTTAGGGAGCTGGAAGGCTGAACAGAAATTCTTCTTGGAATCCTGGAAGGTTTAGACTCCATTCTAAAGGCTTCCTGTGAAGTGTAAATTTTCATTAATTATTTTTGGGAAAACATGCAAGCCTTTTACCTTAATCTTCCTTAATCACCAGTTCAAATCAAGAATTAACTATTAATTCAATTATATTCAAAAAGAAAAACTGTGAGATTATCATCATTCCCACTCCTTAAAGGCACAGGCCTAAAGTTCAACCTAAGTTTCAATAAAATCTAACAAACATGACAGGTACAGGGTAACTCATGCCTGTAATCCTATCTACTCAGGAGTCTTGAGATCTGAGGATATCAGTTCAAAGTTAGCCTGGGCAGAAAAGCCCATTTGACTCTTTTATCCAATTAACCACCAAAAAGCATCAGTTGAAAAGAAACTTGAAGACTAGGAAAGTGGCTTAGCAGTAGAGTGCTTGCTTAGCACGCATGAAGCAATTCCTCAGTAACCACATAAACAGAAAAAAAGCTGGAAGTGTGCTGTGGCTCAAGTGGTAGAGTGCTAGCCTTAGCAAAAAAAGAAGTTCAGGGATAGTGCCCAGGCACTGAGTTCAAGCCCCAGGACTAGCAAAAAAAGAGAAAGAAAGGAAGAAAGAGGGGGGAGGGAAAGAAAGGAAAGGAAGGGAAGGGAAGGGAAAGAAAGGGAAGGAGAGAAGGAAGGAAGGAAGGAAGGGAGGGGGGAAAAAAAAGAAAAGAAACTGGAACTAGGTATGGGGTGAAACTTCACCATTTGCCTAGATTAGTCCCAGCTGCAAAATCTATGTCATATCCCATAGTAAATATTAACAGTGCCTACATATTGTCTCTTAAAGTGGCCTGGTTTGGATAAAGCACAGTCACCTAACTTAAGAATTCTTTTCTACCATCAAGTTTTTATTAAGCTGCATACACATCTAATAAGCACTTAAGACTGTTCATTAACATTCAATGCATATCCCATTTAAACTAGGAAAATTGAGGGGCTGGGTGGTGATTCGAGGGATATTGATCAAGATGCATTGTACTCTAAACTGACATGCTGAATGGTAACTAACCCCTTTGTACAACTATTGAAAGAAAATAAAAATATAATTTAAAAACAACTGTCACTAGAAAGAAGTGAATTTTAAATTGAAAATTCAAAGGAAGAATACATCAGGAAAAACTTATTAATTGAAATTATTCAAAAGCATGTCTAGCACCAAAAAAGTAAAAGCTATACATTACTAAACAGTTCAAAGCTATTAAATAAAGGATTTTATTTGTATAATCTCAAGATTTTAAGCAGGAATATAATACTATTTTTTCAAAATTGTCAACAGTTTTTTAATAACAAAATGCTATTTCATTATGCCATCAAAGTTTAGTTTGACTCTATTAATTACCCAGTTCTTACCTGCAGAAGGAAACTAATCTAGTAGGATATCTGCTCAAGGCAAACCCCTTGGGAGAAGACAAAGAGGCAGAGTCCTTTGAGAGAGATAATTTGATACTGCATGAAACTATTTTTGGTAGCTCTTCTACATAAAATGATTGAATTTTAACAATGTAAGTGTTACATGAAAACTTATATAATTTGGTTACATAAGTTATAGGTCAAAAGAACAAAAAATAGGGGAAAATAAAATGCAGGGCTGAAGAGAAATTTATGCTTACCATACATAAGTTTCTTTTGCTTCTCAACTCAATAGGAACAGCACCATTTCCCAATAAAATTTCAACTGCTTTTCATCATTTTTCATAAATCTGCTAGAGTTTGATTATGTTGCCAAAAAAAATGTGTTGGAAATGAAATCCCCATCCAAAAGGATTGAGAGACGGGGCTAGTGAGAGAGTTAGGTCATGAGCTAATGAGACTATAATGTCCACTGTAAGGAGTCGGACACTTAGTCTCTCCTGTTCTCATGTGCTCTCTTGCCCTTCTGTATTCTTCCCTGAGATGATATAAGGGGGTTCTCACCAGATGCACTTCTCAATCTTAGACTTCCCAACCTCCAGAACTAAAATATAATTCTATTATTTTAATGTTACATTAGAAAAGGAAATTATCTGCGAAGCTAATTATGAAGCAGTAGAGTCACTTGTTGGTTAAAACTGGCTTGCTCAGTGGTGGGAACAATGACCACATACATAAAGGTCACAAAAATCAACAGTGAGATTATTTATATTATCTGCCTATGGAATTATGCACCAATGAAAAGTTTAAAGGGGGACTGGCAGCTGGATGCTGAAGGCTCACACCTATAAACCTAGCTATTTGGCTAAGATCTGAGGATCCTGGTTCAAAGTCAGCCTGGGAAGAAAAGTCTCTAAGACTCTGCAATTAACCAACAAAAAAAGCCAGAAGTATAGGAGCTGGGAAGGTGGCTCAGTGGTAGAGCGCTTGCCTTGCATGCCTGCGGCCCTGGGTTCGACTCCTCAGCACCACATAAGCAAAAAGAAAAAAGCAGGAGGTGGTGCTGTGGCTCAAGTGGTAGAGTGCTCAGCCTTGAGCTGAAGAGCTGAGGGACAGCGCCCAGGCCCAGAGTTCAGGCCCCATGACCGACCTTCCCCCCCCCCCGCAAAAAAAGAAATGTACTCATTACTTTGCCCATGTAATTGTAACCCCTCTGTATGGTATTTTCACCAAAAAAAAAACAAAAACAAACCTTAGTTCTGATTCAACTGTTTTTTTTTTTTAAGTCAGTCCCAGGGCTCAAACCCTGGGCCTGGGCAGTCTCTGAGCTCATTTTTGCTCAAGGCTAGTGCTCTACCACTTGAGCTATAGCGCCACTTTCAGCTTTTTCTGAATAGTTTATTGGTGCTAAGAGTCTCACAGAGCTTTCCTGCCAGACTGGCTTTGAACCACTATCCTCAGACCTCAGCCTCCTTAGTAGCTAGGATACAGGCATGAGCCACTGGTGTCCAGGCAAGTTCAGCTTTTAAAAGTTAGTATCTAATAATAGAATATGATAATTAGATTTATCTTCTCATCATAACAGAATAAAACAAGTAACCATGCTACAGTGTAAGTCTAATAGAAGAGACATACAAACCATATTTGGAGATAGAATTTTCAATTCTTGATAATAGCAGCCTTTCAAAGCAGTCCTTCTTTAAAACAGTAAGACATGACTGACAAAATATAAAGAGCTTCTTTATAAAAGCAATGGAGAACTGACAAGAATTATTAGGTCACTAATAAAGTAAAATGGGAACTCAGAAAGGATAACTAAGAAAACCAATTCAGCCCTGAGGGCATTTGTAAAGTTCCAAATTAAATGTTCTTTTGCCAGCGGTGGAATGAAGTCAAAGCTTAGGACATAAAAAAGGTGACAATGTACTTCTTCTCACAATAAGTTGAATTCCAAAGGACCACAAACTTCAAATTTAGTTATTCTAATAAGAGGGCTGAAGGCATGGCTCAGGTAGTAGAGCACCTGTCTAGCCAGTGCAAATGTGTGAGTTCAAACTCCAGTGCCATCAAACAATCCAAAAGTTATTCCAATAATAAGACAGCCCTTGTGAAGACCTGCTGCCCCAGACTGATGTTGCCTAGATAATAAAAATGAAAACTCAAATGCTAAATTTGATTTAAGGTATCTACAACCAAGCTAGTAATTAAAAAAAGGTGATAGGCATCAAATTATTTCAAAAAATGAGTTTTCTATGTAAAATGGGATGACTATATACTGAAATAAGGCATATTAACAAAGACCTTGAGGAAAAAAAAATAGAACAAATGCCAAATCAAGTATTTTGAAAAGACTATTAAAAACTGCTTAAGCTGGATGCTGTTTAAGTTTGCATGTAATCCTCACTCCTCAGGAGGTTGAGATCTAATGATCATGGTTTGAAGCCAGCCCAGGCAGGAAAATCCATGAGTATACCAAAAACAAGCCAGACATGGAGCTGTGGCTCAAGTGGTAGAGCACTAACTTGAGCAAAAAAGCTCAGGGGCAGCACCCAGACCTGGAGTACAAGCCTTAGGATGGGGATGCATGCAAGTGAGCCCGCCCATTTCACAAATTATGTTTCTGACATTTATGCAAGATTTTATGTTGTTCTGTCTAGCCTTAACAGATTCATATGTTGCTTTTACAAGAAAAGAAAAACTGTACTGGCTCTTGAACTCAGGGTCCTATCCCCTAGGCTTTTTCACTTCAGGCTGCCACCCTACCATTTAGGTCACAGCTCTACTTCTGGACTTCTATTGGTCAATTGCAAAGAAGGCAGGGCTCCATTTTCATGTATGTGCTGGATCTGGGATTGGCTCTCTCATTCTTCTCTTCTTAGCTAATGCTCAGTAATGAGAGCCACACCTCAAGTGTTGCTTCAAACTTCCATCTTCAGATCTCCACCTCCTGAGAAGCTAAGATTACAGGCTTGAGCCCCTGGCACCTAGCTTGGTAGTCTGTTTTTTTTTTTTTAATCTTTCCTTAGAACTCCCCTCTCTAAATCATTATCTTTAAAACTTTGAAATACTATAAAACATAAAATGAAGCATTGAGTGGTAGTGCACATTTTTACTCCCAGCACTCAGAAGGCTTAAACAAAAGGATCCTGAGTTCAAGGACACATTAGAGTTACAGAGTGAGATTATACCTCAAATACAAACAAAACTTTAGACAGCATGGAGTTCTCCTACCCTAGACTGCAGTTTTGCCTAGTGATGGTGGCTCACAGCTATATTCCAGGAGGCTGAGATTTGAATATTGAACACTACCAGACCCTAATGTAAAATTGGCCAGCGGGGCTGGGAAGGTGGCTCAGTGGTAGAGTACTTGCCTTGCATGCATGAGGCCCTGGGTTCTATTCCTCAGCACCACATAAGCAAAAAGAAAAAAAAGCCGGAAGTGGCGCTGTGGCTCAAGTGGTAGAGCGCTAGCCTTGAGCTGAAGAGCTGAGGGACAGCACCAGGCCCAGAGTTTAGGCCACACGACCAGACCCAAAAAAACAAAAAACAAACAAAAAAATTGGCCAGCAAAAAGCTGGAGGTGGAAGCACAGCTCAAGTCCAAGAGTGGCTGTGAGTACAAACGGCCATGAGGAAGCTTGAGTTTATTCTTA